TTTAGAAATTGTTGAAACAATGAGCATCGATCTAGATAATATTATAAAGGTATATTTGAGAATTAATTTAACATCAATTTACTTTCTATTGTTATTATTTTATAGAAAGGCAAGAGCTTTGCTGAGCGTGCAACTTCAGAAGATAAAGCACACAATTATGAGATAGCTGCAGAAGCCTATATGGCCGCCGCAGATTGGTTTATGCATGCGATAAAATGTGAGTGACGATAGCAAATTTTCTCAGGATTGAAACTCTGATTTATGTGTTTGTTTTATTAGATGGAGTTATGAACGCACCAACGAAGCAAAATATACGTGCCAAAGTTAAGACATATATCCAACGAGCAGAAGACATTAAGAATATGAGCGACAATAAGTCAAAGAAAAAACTAGCTGTGGTCAGTGATGATAATGATCAAAGAAATTCAAAGCGTAACAAAGTTAGTGACGATGATAATGTAGATGTAGATAAAAAACGTATGATGCAAAAATTTGAAGGTTGGTTTTTATCATGTTTATCTTTCTAACATAAACATTATACGTTGCCCATTTAATTTAGGAGCTATTGTTACTGATCCCAACGTCACATTTGATGATGTTGTCGGGTTAGAACAAGCTAAAACGGCATTGCGAGAAGCAGTTATCTTACCAGTCAAATTTCCAAAACTTTTCACAGGTATATCTTTGCATGAAACACCAAAAATTGTTGATCAATGCTAAACATACTCTGTGTCTCTTCTTTTGTTTAGGTAAACGTAAACCATGGGCAGGTATTTTACTTTATGGAGTAAGTTTGCACTTTTTCAGTAGATTTCATTTTTTATTTTTTTTATTTCAGCCACCTGGTACTGGTAAATCATATTTGGCTAAAGCCATTGCTACAGAATGTAAAAGTACATTCATTTCGATCACTTCATCCGATCTTCTTTCGAAATGGTTGGGTGAAAGTGAAAAAGGTGTTAAAAGTCTATTTGAACTAACTCGTGAACGACAACCATGTATTGTATTTATTGATGAAATTGATGCTTTATGTGGACAACGCAATGATACTGAATCTGAAGCTTCAAGACGTGTCAAAACTGAATTTCTTGTTCAAATGCAAGGTATATTCGCTGTGTCTATTTATAAGGATGAATAAATCTTATGTTGTGATATTTAATTAGGTGTTGGAACAGATAATTCAGGTGTTCTTGTTCTGGCTGCAACCAATATTCCTTGGACATTGGATACAGCTATTCGACGACGGTATACTTGATATCAAATACATGTTTCATATTTATTATTTGAAACTATTTTAGTTTTGAAAAGCGAATCTATATTCCACTTCCGGGTGTGAATGAACGAGCAGATATGTTTAAAACACATTTGGGTATTAATACTTACCATAAAATAAAAGACCATGAATGGATGCAGTTAGCAAAAAAAGCTGAACAGTAAGTTTTTGTTTTGCACGAAACAGAAGACAATCATGTTTGGTTTTAGTTATTCTGGTGCTGATGTTGCCGTTGTTTGTCGAGAAGCTTTACTAAGACCTATTCGACGACTTACTTCATCGACTCATTTCAAACGAGTAAATTTGCTACGATCAATTTTGATCATTTTGATAATTTTTTCATCTTAAAATAGGTGCAAAATCCAGAACATGATGGTCCAAATGAACTTTGGCTTGCTTGTTCACCTGGAGACCTAGATGCTCAATCACTTACATTAGATAAAATAAATCCTGATGAATTATGTGAACCTCCAGTAACCATGGTTAGTTATTAGAAAAATTTATTAATTGAATTAGAAATTGAGATATATAATATCTTTATAGTCGGATATGTTAGCTGCACTTGCTACACAAAAACCAACAGTAGGTGAAAATGAATTGGGAAAATATCAAATATTTACCCAAGAATTTGGCCAAGAAGGTTCATAGAGAAAATAAACAAAAAATTCTACAAATTAGTATTTTTGAACAAAGCATTCCAATGATCATTATCATTTGTTTTTGTCTTACATCATATCGATCACGATATTTTTTTTGTTGATATTGTTTTTTACATAAATTCATATGAACTCTGACAATTTCATTTTTTTTTTATAGAAAAGTATCAGTTGATGGAATTTCTGATTTTGATGAAGTCAAACTTAGGAATAGCCAGAAACAGATAATTTTTTCATAACTTTTAACAATTTTCAAATGTGCAAGAATCGTACTCTTCATAAGAATCACTATACCGAGTGTCTCAATGGTCCCTTCCTGAAAAATTTTTAGTTTCATTTCACTACGAACTAAACTTCGTCGATTCATTTTGTGTTTTATATTAGATAAATACATGCAGTTTTTATTTCTACGGAAAAACTTCGAAAGCATTGTTCAAAGCTAAGATCTTTAATCAAAATACAAAAATTTAGCTTGTGTCTCTTTGCAAGAAAACTCATGGATGATGCGCGTTTCAATTGCTTGAATTTTGATTTGAAACTATTTATTTCGTTTTTACAAAGATACACCGAAATAAAATTCTATGAAAAGGCCATTCAAATATTGAACAATTTAAAGATTTGAATCATTCAACAACTTGAGGTAATTTAAAAAAATGCTACGTAATGCTTTTCTGGAAAGGTCTTAGCTTTCAACAGTGCTTTTGAGGCTTGTGTAGGAATAAAAACTCGGTGTATTTTTCTATTATGACAAAAAAGAATATGAATCTATGAAGTTCAACCATGGAGAAATGAAACGAGAAAACATTTTGGATGGAACTTTTGGAACGTCCAATATTTTTAAGTTCATCTTTCAAGATAGAAAGTCTTTAGTTGAAAGTAACATGGTCTTTTTTCAAAGACATTGTATTTCATTTTGTGTCTATCAAATGTGCGGCGCATCATAAGCAACTGCCCTGATACTAGTCTTTCCAAACTCGTGACAAACGAAAGAGATTCTTAATCACATTATAAAAGCTGTAGTGTAAATGACTAAAGAAACCAAGTTTTCTTAATATTAGAGTGAAATCAGAATTTCGATCACATTCTGAAACTATGTAAATACAATTAAACTTCTAATTTGAATGAAGTTGAATAGTTTGAATTTGAAGATAAAATTGTAATTCACCTACATGAGATACAATGTAATAAATGAAGCTAAAAGTTATTACTTTCTATCCAAATCAAGTCATAGTCATTATTATTCTTATTGCAGTGTTTATTCATTAAGAAAAAATAAGAAGAAAAAACAGAATAGACACAGTTAATTGTTATTTGATAACACCTTTGTAACGAAACAACATGCTCAATCTATGAAACATTAATCTAACAATTTATGAATATTTATATAAAATTCTTTTTCCTCAATGATAATACTTGCTAGACGAAACATGCTCAATTTTGTTACATTCATACTGTTGATAATAACAAACGTTTGAGTATATTTATGACAGCCTGTCAACTTATCCTAAGCTTCTCACTAAGAGTTTATAGTACTCCGAATCATTGCAAAAAACATTTCATATAATGTAGAAAAGATAGATCCTCAAAAACATGCATGAAAACGTTAGACGAATCAGAAAGATGAATGGATGTAGCCGATTTTTTTATGTGTATTCAAACATATCGAGTATTTGGTTGAACATGTGTAATGTATTTCATCACTCTAATTTTTTCTTTAATATTTATATTGTCTCAAAAGAGAGACCGGTAATATACACGAAGGGCAGTTGTTCATGTATATGCTGACTACTGCACGCGCATCTATGTAAACTGATCAATTGACGTACATATTTATCCTGACTTGTAATTCCACATAAAGAAATGCATTACCAGCTGTTAGATTACCGTTTCGACCTCACTGTAGTTTGTTTTCATTATGTTGTCCTCAAGTTTAATTTGACAATTTCTTCAAAGTGATGATTTAAGAATAAGTTATATACAATTAATGAATGAATAATCGAGATTTGTAGTCTTTTACATGTTTTCTATGAATGAAGCAAAACGTTCATGGTTTTTATACAGAATAATTTGTTATCTAGAGACAACTGTATTTTTATCTTCATCTTCATGTCTCCAATTATTAATATGTCTGCTTACAACCGTGAGATCACTAGAACATTTTTATTCCTTTCCTTCATGAGAAAGAAAATAAATGATGAGAAATCTAAATAATTCATTGTTAAAACTAGAAATGACTATTTCATTTTTTTTTCTTTGAATCAATTTAAAAAAGATTTTTCTTCATTACAATCAGATAATATATTTTGATAAACTTATTTTCAATATTTCTCAAAAATAATATGAGACAACTTATAGATTAATTTTTATTTTATAGAAAGAAAAAATGTAACCAAAAACATAGTTGTATCATTATATTAATCAAATATAATAAGATTTTTGCTTTTTTTTTATATCGAAATAAACAGAATTCTAGATAAGATCAAAATTATAGTTGTTATATTACAAAAAATCAATCTTGATACTATACCTTAAGTTTTTGTTAAGAAGATATCTTCTCAATATTTTAGGCGTGATTAAAAGTTTCCTCATATGTTCACATGAAAAGAATTACTATGTATCTGGTCGATATTCTTATGAGTCCTCTCTTAAATGTACATTAAATCCATTGATAGTTATTTACATAGTTTTGAAGAGGATTTTTTTAATTAATAAAACAAGGTTTGATAGAAAATATATCACATAAATTGTCAATCAATTTTTTTGTATCTAATAACAGATTTCTGTTACAGATGATATCAGGTAAATTCCTATGCACATGAGTTTTATTAACTAATTGCCGTTACTCGTCCATGACATGTACAATATCGATTGAATCTTTTAAATGAACGGATATATTTTCCTTTGTTATTTCTATTACTTCATAAAATCTACGATCACGTTCATTTAATGTATTTCTTGAATCATCAGTTAATTGTGCTGCTGATAAAGAAGTTTTCAGATCATTACAAAAATCTATCATTATCTTGTCATATAACCTTGCTTCGGCTAAATTTTCTTTGCTATAGTCAAAGTTAAACCATCGAGCGTTTAGCAAGAATAATAATGGTATTTCTCTTGGGGTGTTCTTCTTTAATGCTTGTTGAATTGTAACATAGTTTTTTTAACGAGCTGGATATTTTTACAACATCAATTGTAAAAATTCCAATATTAGTAAAATGTTTAATTTGCATCTTATAATTAGGAGAAGCTTGAGCTACCACAATTACATCTTCGTCATATGGAAATTTACGATCAGTACTAGTCATATGAATATCGAGTTTTGAACCTGAAAATAAAAATAACCCAGGTCGACGATTACGAACTTCGTATACAGCTGTAAACGACTGTATACGCTCCATATACGACCGTAAACGACCGTTTTTTTCTCCATATATCACCGTATTTCTCCGTTAACGACACGGAGATATACGATTGTAATACTGGACCATGTATTTTGCCGTGTTTTGCCGTATACGGTCGTTCACGACCGTGCTTGTTTGACCTGAGAAGTGTTGAGTAAAATTGTATTGATCATCTCTGAGAATTAGATTGAAAAAGTAAATGATCTAGCACTTAAGCACAGTAATCCTTTACTATTTCTGATATGTATTTCATGCATGTAACTGAATAAACAATCAAGTTTAGCTAATCAATATCAACTACGAACTAGAAAAGTGTTTAATTGAATGAATAACATATTCTTATGTTATCGCTAGACAATCTTAATAATCTGATAACGTTACTTTATCGCAAACATTTATTCAATTAATGATTTCTTACCAAAAGATAAAGAAACCAAACTATCATATTGAGTATAGCATCCTGGCCAACGAAACCAAAGGTTGTTTCCCACAAAGGTTTCCCTACTTTTCCTTTTCTCCATAAAACGAAATCACAATTATTCTTCTTTTTTTTTGTTTTTCGGTTCTGATGTTGTTAATATTTCTGCACCTTTACTCAATCCAGCAAAATCAATCATTTGATCAAGTATTAATTTTGCATATGGATTTTTTGTATTGAATTTTAATGTATTGAAATATATTGAATCGTTGGATTTATAACCCAGGTAATGAAAACCGGCGGTTTTACCGGTCCAATTACCGGCCCCTTGACATGGGAAGCGAATCCATTTTCTATTATTTTTTGAATAATATTAGTAAAACCAGGAATGGAATCGCTTGCACGGATTAAGTCTCGCAGTGGTACAATTATTTCTAATAGTTTCATATCATTCAGAAATTTCTTTTCAAGTTCTCTTGTATATTGAAGAAGTGTTGCTTTGTCAAATGAATCTGTTGTATGAGAATAATTAAAATCCAGATAAGACGAAAGAATATTGTAACAACCAGCATATAATGTCTACAAGAAAAATCGGATTTAGTTCAATGCTTTAAAATATATTAAAATATTTACTTTTCGTTTTGTTTCAACATCAGATAAAGTACCCATGTGATGAAAACCGGACAAAAACCGCGGATTAACCGCGGTTAACCGGACAGAACCGCGGTAAACCGGCGGTTTTCGCCGGTGAACCGCATTTTACCGCTAAAACTGATCCGGTTTTTGTGACATGGGTGTCGACGTTTTAAAACGTATTTTCAGCTATTGAAATTTGTTTATCATACATTGCTGAATTATCTTCATCTTGTTCAAGTGAACTAACATTTTTCATATGATAAAAGAGGGTGTGACGGGTGTGGGTGTGGCGGATGTGGGTGTGGGATGTGGGTGGAACTGAAAATGAGATAAACATCCACATCACGAATATTTCACACGTCATAAAAAAACTAAAAAGAGAAGATGAGTTAAAGTACAAAAATTCTATTGCATCTTACCGCGCATGACCTATATGAAGAGTATCAACTGCTGTGCTTTGATAACTGAAAATACGTATAAAATTTCTTTCCATAACGGGAATAAGAATTTTCAAAAATAAAAGTTTTAAATTTTAATCAAGCTGATATAATTTTTTTTTATTACCGTTTGATTAATTGAATTATCCTATAAGCAAAATGGTTTATATTTTTTATGTGTATAATTTATTGATGTTGTTGATGTCATTTTCATTAATGATTATCTAATTAAGAATAAGCCGAAAGAAAAAAGATAAAACACGTTAATATGTGAATCAAGGGAAAAAAATTTGTTTTACTGTTTTATGTTTAAAAAGAAAGAACTGATATATCCTATTCTGAGGTGGATGAAAACGTGTATATTTTACACTTTTTGGATGAATTTTCATTTTCAAAACTTTTATATTGATTAAGTTCTTTTCATACAAGGGGCACGCCAAAAGTTTTTTCCTTGACTCTTTAGACAAATACAAAAAAGATAGGGTTAGTAAATTTTTTCAAAGTATTGCCCATTAGCTTCAATGCATTTGTGCATTCGAATAAACCAGTCGTTGAAACAGTTTTTGAAGTCTTCTTTTGTCAGACTACCAATAGTTTGTTCTAATGCATTCAGCATCATGTTGTCGTCGTTGAATTGAATTCCACGTAGTTGGTTTTTGAGTTTTGCAAACAGGAAGAGGTCGCACGGGCTTAGATCTGGAGAATATGGTGGATTTGGATATGATTTTATATCTTGCATTATCATCATGAAAAATAAGGTCTCGAAGACCAGTCTTTTCTCTCCATTCTGAAACAGCTTTGAAGACTTGTGGCACGCAAATATTTACATACCAAGTAGCATTTATTGTATCACCTGGTTCCAATGGTATATACTTGATTAAACCAGATTTCATAAAGAGAATAGTCACCATTTGTTTGCCTGAACTTTTGACTCGATGAACTTTAGTTGATCGTGGGTCAGTTTTTGACACCCATACTTTTGATTGTTCTTTTGTTGTTGAATCATAATGATAGAACCATGGTTCATCGCCAGTAATAATGTCAAATACACGACGGGATCGACCTTCTTCAAATCTCTTCAATGATTGTTGGCAAAATTCAACACGTAGCTGTTTTTGATCTTCAGTAATCTGATGAGGCGCCCACCGAGCACAAACCTTCCGTAACTTCAAATAGTCATGAATAATTGAATTAACCGCTGGCGAACCAATGCTTAGGATGTATTCTATTTGTTCATATGCTGAATGGGGATCATTCTCGATTATTGCGCGAACCGCATCAATTGTTTCTTCATTGACAGCAGTTCGAGGACGGCCTGGGCGAGCAGCATCTTCAATAGTATATTCGCCACGTTGAAATTCATGAAACTAATTGCGAACTGTGCGGTCCGAAGGTGCTTCATCCCCCATGCTTGCACCAAACGGGCATGACTTTCATTGTGCGTTAACTCAATTTTCCAGTCATATAATATCATAGTTCGAAATTGTTCCCGTGAAAGATTAAAATTCATATTGAAAATAGTGTATGACTAATCTGAAAGAAATAAAAATATGTAACGATATACAAAACTTAAAACCCTGAAATTTTGCATCTATTCCTAAATATGTTTGGGCATTATAGCAGTATAGTTATATCTTAATCAAGTCTTTTAAGAGGGCTGAAGGAAAAAACTTTTGACGTGCCCTATGTACAAGTTATTTATCTTGAGGTGTCAAACGTGTCCATAATTTGTCAACATGTCAATTAACTTCATCACATTCTAATACTTCAATATAATCACAAAAATCAAAATAAATCTATCGACGGCATCAAGCAATGGTGCTTTATTCATCCACAAAACTGCCATTTTAAAAGCACCTGCATATTAATCACCGAAACATACATCAAGCATAAAATAAACAAAAATCCAATCTTGAAAATTTTGCTGTAGGTACATGAAGTTTTGCAAGTGTTCGTACATCAATTAAAATAAAAGAATTAATTTTTTCCATTCGATTTTAAAAAGATCTGTTATTGAATATAATTCATAAAAACATGTTTCATTTATTTGATTATTATCTAACAAATACCAAATAGAGATGTGCACCGCTCGAGCGGTTCGTCCACCCCGTCTTGAGGAGTATAAATTATATGAGTGCGGCCACACCGCTTCTGAATTTTGCGAGCGGGACTGGTGCGGAGCGACCGTTCTCGTCTTATTTATCGCCCAAGCGGCCGCCTGATCTTAATTTGACCGTTTAATGAGGGAATATCTTCTGAAGTCGAAACCGACAAACCTACACTGCAATTAATATCGTGCAGCAATATTGGTGAATTTTTTCCCTTAAATAATAATGATTAGGTGTGCGCCAGTGCCAGTAACTGGGTCCCAGTCGGACTGGTATCCAGTCATGACTGGGTACTTAGTCATTTGATGTTTATTCTGCTAATCGAACAGTACTTCCCTCTTTTCTAATATATTGCAATGCATTGATTCTCAGGCTGATAAAATACTAATTTAAGCAATAACATTGAATTGATTGAGTATTCTTATATTTCTATGTACCAATCGTTTTATCGTACAACATTATTACTATATTCCAGCAGTATTAGTAATTTATATTAAACAACACAGGNCAGGGGGGTGGCGGGGGTGGCGACCGCCACCCCCTTCGAACTTAACTTCACGTTGTTTCCTAGTGATTTTTCATGGATATCTTACATTGTTGTCTAAACCGCCACCCCTTCCGCCTATTGGACTTTATTTTTCTCTTACCCGCCACTCCCTTCAAAAATTCCTGGATCCGCCACTGCTATGTATCGAATATTATATAGGTTTTCCTCAAGTAATGTACGAACGATTTCAATATATTTTTTCAATGATTTTGGTTTCCGGTTGTCCAATTCTTGAGTCACCTTATAACAAGATTCTACCATTTTTAAAGCGCTTCACCAATTCAGATTTTGTGCTGTACAATACATGACCTTTATCTTATGCATCACACAATCCCGTATGAATTCTTTTGCTGTACAGTCAAATTCTTATCTCGTACCAATATACAATCGAATGTGGATCCTATCCCGCTAAAAATATATCATTTGAAAGAATGATCCTTCAGGATGCCAAAAGCAAACAATAAGCGTTCAATCTGGTCAACATATCGACCAGTTCTAACACTATTTCAAAGTTAAAGAGAAAGTTTTCAATCATGTCAAATAGCAAGAATCGAAGATGATTTTTGAGAACTTTTGAGTCATCCAATGTATATTCTTAATAAAACGAATCAAAGTGGAATGCATAGTCCGTTTACATTAATTTATTGATAAATCTATGATATTTTCAAAGTTTATTACATTTATTTACGAATAAAATTTAAAGGAAATTATTTGTTTTAATTTTCGTCTACGTAAAACATGTCATTTGTCATCATCATCACTATCGCTAAAATCATTATGGCATTTCTTTCAGTAATTGCTGTCGTTTTCATTGAATTGTAGGTTCTTGTTTCCTATTTTTACATTATATATTATTATTATTTCATGTTAATGGTCAATATTCACCAGTAAATAACATTGATGATTTAATTTAAGAATGTCACAACATCTAACCATTATATCTATAGCTTATTCATAAACGTTTTCTTGCAATTCATCATCATCATCATCATCATCATCAACATCATTCAATTCTAAGCTGTCGTTATCATTACGACAATAGAACTTACAATAGTCTTCCGAACATGCACGATATTCATTAGCCATAGACTTTGATAAGCATGATGAGTAAGTATTGATGACAATTCATATCGTAATGAATAGAATGCAAGTTGATATGCAACTAAAAAAAATTGCTTTTTGCTTTTGATTGGAGTTTTTTTTTATATACTATTCAAAATACTTACTGTATATTATCTATTTCATGTGTTGCTCGAGAAAATGTCTCTTTTTTATACTATTCATTAAGGAACTTATATATTAATGATAAAAGAATAAATTAAAAATACGAAAATATTAGTTCGATTAAATAAACAGAATACAAGAAAAGATTGTAAACTTATGATTACGAAAAAAGATAAATTATTAATAATATATATTGAAATTTGTTTTTTTTATTTTCTTTTTCTTGTCCTTTTTTTGTATAGAATAAGCAATGCTAATCGTAATATTCTTTTAAATTAATTTTTCTATTTTAGAGCTTCGACTTCGGCATCGTAACAAGAGATGAAGACTTGCCATTGTTTGGTAATGATGTGCATCCACAAAGCATCACTGCAAGTTTAAATTCACGCTTTAATATTTCGAATATATCAACAACACCTTGACATCCACCCGCTGCAAGACCCCAAAGAACAGGTCGACCAATCAGTACAGCATCTGCTCCAAGAGCTATTGCTTTAAGAACATCTGTACCACGTCGAATTCCACCATCTATATAAATATCAATCTTTTTCTTGGTTCGAATTTCTCGTACAGCGGTAACAATTTCAGGCAAAACTTCAATTGTACTTAATGTTGTATCAACTTGTCGAGCACCATGATTTGATACAACAATTCCATCAACATCAGCTTGAACAGCTAATTGAGCATCTTCTCTAGTCATTATGCCTTTAACAATAATAGGTAATCGACTTATTTCTCTTAACCATTTAATATCAGACCATGTTAATGTTGCATCAAGATTTCTTGCAATAAAATCACTTAATGCCGATACATGATCACCTTGTGCATGTTTTAAATCACCATCATATAAATTTTCTAATTGCATATTTTCTGGTAAACGAAATCCATTTCGATGGTCTGCTTCACGATTACCAAAATGACAAGCATCAACAGTAACAACAAGCGCACGAAAACCAGCTTTTTCAGCACGATGAACAAGTCGTTTTGTAAATTCACGATCTTTAAGAATATATAATTGAAACCATAATTGAGATGTTGATGTTGGATGTTCTTTTAATGCTTGTTGATGTTCATGAGCAACATCTTCTATACGTGTTGTTGATAATGATGAAAGTATCATCACAGTATTAGCACGAACAGCTGCACGAGCTGTACTTAGTTCACCACGATCATCAGCTAATCGATGCATTGCTGTTGGTGCAATTAAAATAGGCAATGAACAAGTTGTTTGACCATTTAATAAAGTAACAGAACAACTATTTGGATTGATATCATGGTGAGAAACATCAACAAATACTCTTGGACGTAATTTAATACGTCGATAAGCATCTATATTATCTTTTAAAGTTAATTCATCATCAGCACCTGATCGATAATAATCATAAGCCATTTTAGAAAGTTTTTCTTTTGCTACTTGATGATAATCTTCGATATTGAGTAAAACTCGAGATGACTGTGGAATAGTTGTATTCGGTTGAAGTAATGTGCCATCATACATTTTTTTCGTAGACATGTTTAAAAACAAATGTACTTTTGTTTATTATTAAATCACTCAGAATCGAAACCAATAACATATATATATATACCTTATCGAATAATACTACTTGCGGCATCTGACTTTTAAAAAGCTTCTTTCCGATTGGTTTTTACCATATATAAGTCAAAGGAACAATCAGATGAAATTTGATCCTGGTTTTTGCTTATCTATCGTTGTGCATTGATTATTATTTAAAATGGCAAATTCAAATCGTATTTGTATAATAGGTGGTGGTATTATTGGTGCTTCAATTGGATTTCATTTATCAGAAGCTGGATGTTCGAATATAACTATTGTTGAACGAACAAATATTGCTTGTGGTGCTAGTGGACGTGCAGGAGGATTTCTTGCAAAAAATTGGCGTTCAGGTGTTGAAGGAAAATTTTCTGAATCAAGTTTTTTAGCTCATAGTGAACTTTCTAAACGTTTAAAAAATGAATTTTCTACTGATGTTATGTATCGTCGTTTAACGACATATAATATATCAATACGTGAAACGCATGGTAAAACAAAAACAATAAAACAAACTAATGATAATCAATCATTACCAAAATGGATTACCGGTGATGTTCATGAAAAAGAAATGTTAGGAAATGAAGATACAACAGCACAAGTTCATCCAGGGTAGATTATTTAATAAAAGGAATATTTATTTATGCATATATTTATTTTTTAGATTATTAACAAATGCTTTAGTAAAAATAATTGAAAATCGAGGTGGACGTGTTGTGATTGGTGAAGCAAATGGATTTCTTTTTGAAACTATAACAACTCATACAGAAAAAGATGAACATCATCAAACATCACCTGTTCGTGCTATTAAATTATTAGTTGAAAATCAAGAACCTATTGAAGCTGATATATTTATACTTGCTATGGGACCATGGACATGTAAATAAATATTATTTCATATTGAATATTTTCAATTTTTTAACTCATATAGATCAAGCATCACCTTGGTTTCGAGATACTATGATATTCAAAGAAAAGATTTCTCATCAATTAGATGTTATTGGTGGAGTTAAAGCACATAGTATAGTATTTAAAGGTAATCAACCAACAGAACCTTATGCATTTTTTCTTGCCTATCAATC